ACTCATCGGACAGTCCATCGAAACGGGAGACCAATTGATCGAAACGCTCGACAGTATTAGCGTTTGTGTCCACAAACTGCAAGCTTTCGATGCGGCCATCGATGGACGCAAAACAGCGGAACGATTGTAACAAAATCCATACGAAGTCGTTGACTGTCATTGAGCCCATTATATCCTCTTTGAGTCGACGCTTCTGCGGCGGGTTTGACAGGTATTTCTCTTTAAAATCCAAACCCTTGTCGAAGACTATGAGAATCGGTTCATCCAATTGATACGGAATCGACAGTTTCAACAAGTCTTTAGCCAATTCTGGCAGTAATTGTGTCGTCAGATTCAAAAAATTCTTCTCGCAATAAAACAACACCAAATGTTTGACAAAATTGGCGCTACATTTGTGTCCATATCGGCGCAAACCGGTCACCAATTCGCGGAACAGGCGATCGTTGTTCGGGAATCGACTGAACACTACCGGTACGAGTCTTAACAGTGAGTCGCCGTCGGCCACGTGTGCCATACGTCCAATCAGTTTATGCCAAACGCGCGGTTCATTAGACCAAACGGTGTTCAACGCCTGAAACCAATCGCTTGGATCGAGTAGTGTTGCGTCCAATGCGGGCATTATATCGTACACTTTGGTCGGTTTCGCCGACCGAAACGCCTCAATACGAGTCTCGATTGCGGCCACATTGTGGCCATCGGTCGGTGCGCTCGACTCCGCTGCTATGTCTCCGGCACCGGCCGATTGAGATTTGAAGCGTTTGGGCGACGACTGGACGGACGCGGTGTCAGAGGTGGAGGCCGTTGGATCAGCTTCTGTATCGGGCGCTGACTTGCGCTTTCTGTCGCCGAACTTCTTGTTCTTGTACTTCATGAGCGCTTCCGTCATTGGAGTGATCTTCGGGTGACATAATCTAATTATATCCCGTTGTGACCACTCTTTAACAAAAAACAAGACAATTGGCAATTCATTAGTAAAACAATTATCATAAAAATGTACCGAATTTGCGGCCAAACGTCAAATTCAATTCGATGTCTTTGTCAGTGACGGGCCGTCGATAGTATAGTCGGAAACAGTGGCGCAACTGATTGTTTGAATTCAATCGTTTGTAACCATTCATAGCGGCAAACAGCAGGACATCCAACGGGTGAACACACTGTTCACCGAAGAGACTGACGGCCAACGCCCGAAACGGCGACTGAACAGTAGCCGACTTCTGGCACGCGAACAGCGACACCATCAGCAGTGGTAAGCGATGGCCGTATTGTTGTCCCGATTGGCGGCCGAACTCGTCGACCATCTGTTGGATCCGTTGGCAGCAGCTCTTCGCCAGCTGTTGATTGGCTTCGTTGTTGTCGGCGTCGGCGAAACGCTTCCATACGTTTTCAACGCTCTTCAACGACAACTTCTTCTTCGGTACGACCAGTCGGTGACGATCGGCGTCCAGACGGACCAGACTGTTGACCGACAGGTGTCGACAACTGTCCACCGCTGAGGTCTCGGTGCCGAAGCGGATGTATCGGTGGACACGTGACAACTCAGTCATCAGTTCCGCACTCAACTCTGTGGTCAACTGTGGGTCGGTTTCCATCGCTTCCATCGATTCGGCCATTGTTTTGAGTCCAAGAAGTCCGCGACCGAAGACAACACACGTGGCGGACAATCAAGTGATTTGTGGTTTAGTGTTGTTTCACAATAACAGGTGTTTTGGTTCGCATATCACGTGACGCTGTGTTAAGGGTCGGCAAAAACCCGTGGGTTTTACCGTTTAGTCCGTTCGCAAAGTCTGTTACATTTTTTTGAGTACTCTTTTGCGCCCCTTTTGAATGTACAGAGTGTTTATCTATGGGGTACAAAAGTAATTCGCCTCCCATTTCAAAACCCCTTGGGCGATTTTAATGAATTAAAGTTTATTCTAAAGATTAAATATGGGAAATTAATGTATAATAGATTCAAAATGGCCACCACCCTTGGTGACCATATGGTGAAGCCGTTTCGGGAAATTATCAATTGCACGTTCAATCCTATCCATTGATATGCCTTTAATGATATCCAAAATTGAATTTTTGAGTTCAGGGATTGTCTGTGGATTAGAGTGAAACACTTGGTCTTTTAAATCACCCCAAAACCAATAATCACAGACATTCAAATCTGGACTGTTTGGTGACCATTCAATGCCACCTCCGGTTTTCTTAGGGGCGTCGAGTCCTATAATTCGATTGCCAAATGAAGCCGAAATCCGATCAAAAACATCCTGGGTACGATGTGGTCGGGCACCATCTTGTTGGAACCAAAAATCTTGAATCCAACCATTCTTTTCAACAATATCCATAAATTTCTTAATAATTTGGTTTTCGTATACATCTCCAGTAACAGTTCCATCAATAAAAAACGGCCCGATTATGCCTTGACCAGAAATGGCACACCATATTGTGACTCGTTTTGGGTGCAATGGCTTGGCAATAGTGAACTCTGGTTTTTGTGTACCCCAAATACGGTGGTTTTGTTTATTAACATAACCATTTAAATCGATATGGGCTTCATCGGTAAACCAAATTTTTCTCAGATCGATTTGTTTCGATTCAAACATTGCAATCATTTTTTTGCCGAATTCAAGTCGTTTAGACACGTGATGCTCATTTAATGGATGAACGAGCTGTATTTTATAGGGATACATCTCGAGTTCGAACCGTAAAATTTTCCAAAAACTGGTCGGTTTGATGGCCACGGCTTGTGAGGACTTGCGAACAGATTTTACGACATTTTTGGTTTTCATGTGTTTGCGAACCTTTTCGATATTAGCCGGTGTCATGACAGTTGGCACCCGTTTATTGTAATGCTGTTTATTATTAGTCACACACCCGGTTTGTTCAAACTTTTCAATTAGTCTATTAAATTGTAAAAATGTAAAAATTAATTATCAATTTTATCAAAATTTATTATTTTTAATTACCTTTTAATTGTTCTGTTTGTGATTGTTGAATGATGGTCAAATTGTGACCGAAATGCTCTCTTAGTTTCCGTGATATTCTCTCCATTGCGATAATAAAGTCGGATCAATTGGATCCGATCTTTAATTGAATATTCACCGGTTTGAGACATTATTGATATTGTTTACAAATGTTGTTTACAATTGTTTAATAGTCAACCACTACTTAACCATTTAGTCAGAGGTCATCATTAAATATTGTCCAGTCATAAACAACATTACAATTTGTTAATTTAGAAGTTTATAACTTTAAAACTTTTAAAAAACGTTCTTTTAAAAGTATGTTATAAATCTGGCCATACTACATATTTTTACCGTATAACTTTACAAATTAATTTTCCCGCATTTGCTTTATAAAGTAAACTTTATTTCAATAAAATCGCCCAAGGGGGTTTTGAAATGGGAGGCGAATTACTTTTGTACCCCATAGATAAACACTCTGTAGTTTGGGTTTTGGGTGAATGCAAACTGTAACCAGTGTTGTAATAATTATTTGATTGGTTGTGATTTATTAGTTTAGCATGGTTATAATTTTAATCAAATATAAGTTGTATTTAATTATATAACAAAATTACTGTAATATACTTTATTAACTTTTTGTTGTTATTTTGCTCAAAGTTTTGGTAAGTGTTTCAATAGTTACTAACTATTAATTGCAATAATAGTATAATTAGTAAATCTCATGATAACTACAATTAGATATTCAAAAATCCCATTTAAACCGACTATCAGTGCGAAAGACATAAGACAATCGAGATGTCAGTCGTATTGACAATAGTATCGTATTCTTGTGGTATACTTTTGGACGCATTCCTCATATTCTTCGCGTTGTTTCAAATCATATCGTTTGATGAGCTGAGGGCTGACTACAGGAATCCCATCGATCTCTGCAAACAACTCAATCCACTGGTTTTGCCCGAATATCTGATCCATTCGGTGATCACCGCTCTGTTCCTCATCTCTGGCCAATGGTCTGATCGGCTAAGTCTTTGCCCCACTTCTTGAGCGCTAATACGAGTTATGGCTTTGTTTAACAGGTTTTCGCTGTTGATAAACGTGCCGCTCGTCGTGTATCACATCCAGCGATACCGTAATAGACCGCTGATGACTGATCCGGGTGTGTACGACCCGACCACCATCATGTACGCCAAACAACAGTGGTTGACCAATCGGGAGGCGTGGATCAGATTGGCCTTCTATTTGACCACATTCTTCTACTATCTCGTGGCTCTCATTTATGTCTTAATACACAACTTTTAGACCCATTTTTCTGGTATTGTTTTATCAGATATTTTCACAATTTCTGTCAATTTTTGTTTTTCATAATTAGATTTAAAGTAAATGTTGTTTTAATTTTAAATTCAATATTTAATTTATTTATTCATCTCTTTTTATAATACTTTTTTATATAACAAATATTCTGTACATTTATATTGAAATTTAATAAATAATTATAAATAATTAAATAATATGTAAAAAAGTTGGGAAATTCGTAATACATGTTAGAATACACTGAAAAAATTATTTG